AAGCTTTACAGGAAAAGCTGTCGATATTTAAGAAATGTTTCTGATCACACTCAACAACACACCAAGGTAGAAAACTGATTTCTACAATCCTCATTTTAATTGCATATTTAAAATATCAAAACAAAGTGTGCACACTTCCCGCAGAACGTATGAGACAAACAAGCACGTACAGGCACAGGTGGGCCCACACTAAATACAAATAAATACAGTGCAGGGCACTGGTGTGCGCCCTGGTGCCTGTACTATGTGAAAAAAGGTTAACATTGACTAGTAATGGATCACTTTTATTCAGAGTAGTGCATAAGTATTTAGACTCTTTACATAAATTATAATCCTACAAAAGTCTTACATTCATTTCATATGAAAATATATTCAAAATAGCAAGTAAAGTAAAACATTCTTTAACATTATGTTCCTTTTCACGATATATTAATTATTCAATGATAAATGCTGATTGGCTAATGTACTTTAATGTTGCATATGACATACAGTATGGTCATATTAATATGACAGCACGGGTCACAATGATGCAAACGAGCTCCAACATTTAATGTTACACTGATGATCTGACACAACAAATGTTAGATGAAAAGCATCAGACACAATAAAGTCTTTTACAATTGTGTCAGCCTCTCACATATGTTCTCAGGCTGATCTGCTTTCTTGCAACTTGTGAAAGTTGTAAGAAAGCAAAGTTGGTTGCATTTAATAGACTTACATTTGTTTATATTAGCTAGCTACTGACGGGACTAAAACTATAAATTAGTCACTTTCGTACTGCCCCTCACTGCAACAATGAGTTTTATGTTAAGAAACTAAGGATATACTGTTTACTTTCACTGTCTGTCTCTTTGGCAGTTGGTGGTTTATTACATTACATTAAATACATAACATGCAGCTAGCTACAGGTGCAGCTAGTCAAACAATGACACTTGCTGCTTAAGAGATCATGACTGATGGGGTTTTGCTGATTAAGTGCCTTTTTTATTTTGTGACTTAGGGCTATATAAATACAACTGAATAGTAGGACAAGACAGAGAAATACTTCTACATCACAGCACAGTCTTTTGCCCTCACTATGTCCAAAAGATTCAAGTGTCAGAGGGCTTATGTTAGCAGCTGTGCAGAGATTCCCCCTGCACAACTGCTAACATAATATGGATCGCACGAGAGCCCACACAATTTGCAAATCATGTTCAAGATATCAAATCGTCCTTTCTGCTGCTGATTCCTGACTCAAATAAGAAAATTACACTGGACCCTGCAGGAAGATTTATTTTTAGAGATTAATAGAAAGATGTAGACGTAATGCATCTGAACGGTTGCTTTGGGGATCCACATCCTTATGTACAGGTCAAGAGAGGAGTTGACTATGTATGTGACAGGGAGAGAGATTTTTAGAGCTGCAAGGTCTCTAAAGAGATTTTATTTATTCTCAAGGATCATTAGATTTGATGACTGGGAATCAAGATCGGTTATAAGGCAGGGATAATGCACTGTGGGACAACTTCATGACACTAGGCCCACGAATGGTTTAAAGGCAAGGCAAGGCAATTTTATTTGTATAGCACACTTTCAGCACAAGGCAATTCAAGGTGCTTTACATCAGCAGTCCCCAACCCCCGGGCCTCGGACCGGTACCGGTCCGTGAGTTGTTTGGTACCGGTACTAGTTTTATTTTGTTGTATTTATCCGTGACACCTTAAGGCCGGTCCGTGAAAATAATGTCGGGCATAAACCGGTCCGTGGTGCAAAAAAGGTTGGGGACCGCTGCTTTACATGATTAAAAATAAAACATAAAACACTATAAAAGTAAAATACAAGAAAACATTTACAAGAAAGCATTTACAATAAAACAATAATCAAGACAATAATTTATATGAAAAATTAAAACAAACAAGTAGAGTGCCATAATAGGATCAGTTACTCATAAGCAAGTCTAAATAAGTACGTTTTAATTTTAGACTTAAAAGAGTTCAGTGTCAGTGGCTTTGCATTCTCCCGATAGTGTGTTCCAGATGTGAGGAGCATAGAAACTAAAAGCTGCTTCTCCATGTTTAGTTCTGGTTCTAGGGACGGTCAATAAACGAGAGCTGGAGGACCTGACTGATCTAGATGGTTTGTACCATGATAGCAGATCCCTAATGTACAACCCATTCAAGGATTTATAAACTAATAAAAGCACTTTAAAGTCTATTCTCTGAGCTACAGGGAGCCAGTGTAATGACTTTAGAACTGGAGTAATGTGCTCTATTTTCTTGGTTCT